GGATTCCGCGCTGCCTCGTTGGCAGGGGACACATAACAAACAAAAGAGAAAAAAAAAAAAAAAAAAAAACAAGTTTCAGAATGTGACCGTTTTTGTTGTAAGATACATTCAAGACTGTAGCACGACCTCCTAAACTACCCTGCCCGACATCATTGCAGTACAAAGGCCTTTGTTTTTTTTCTTTTTCTTTCCTGCACGGGTAAAAGAAAACTATGATTTTTGGGACATTGCCGCCCCTGTGTCCGAACCCCGAAAACTTCGGGTACTAACCAGGACAACGTAATTTCCCAACACTGGCAGAGGTGCTGGTGGTTTAAGGAAAATCAAAATATAGTGCAAAAAATGCAAAATTGAATTATAAGCTGGAAAAAAAAAAAAAACTCTATTTTTTTGAGCATTTTATTCTAGATAATTTTGAAGTACAACAATTACGTTTAAACTCGTGCGTTAAATCGAAATTTATTTATTGTGCGATCTCACCCTAAAGGCCAAGTCCAACTAGCGAAGTCCTAAGAGCGGTGTCGTACCAAATACCCTTACAAGGGTGTTTGGCGTGGTTTATGCAAGTCGCATTAGTGCAGCCTCGTCCGCTCGATAGCGCGAGTACGAGAGGAAGTTTAGGTCCTCGCCGAGGTGAGCGGCGCGCGCGGGGTATCGACGGCGGGGCACAACTATGCGCGGCCCAGGCGGGCGCGTCGTTGCAGTCCAGCGTGTCCCCTCGTGTTATTTTTATTTTTATTTCTGTTATTTTTACTAACGACTTTGACTCGGTGATCGGATCCGGGGTCAACGTCGGGACTGACGAGCCTAGCCTAGTGGCTACATCACCGGCTGTTGGTGGCCGATACGGCAGTCAAGGACCTTGACCACGTACTTCGTCGGGCCCGTTCGGGTTCCTGCGTATTTGGAGTGCTGGCGAAATTTTTCCATCCCACCCGCGTTGAAGCACAGACCGAAGCGGCCAACGTGCGTGGAAGTGGCGGGGTCCGTGGTCGCGGCCTCCCTCGTTTCCCACTTGGAGAGCGCCGATATCCTAAAAGTGGAAGGGAAATTGAGAACGTTCTATGCTAGCCGGTGGGTGATTTGGACTATACTCGGGGGCATAGTTTGGGGAGTTTATTTTAGCGATGGCCATACGGGACCCGACTCCACTTCGGTTTTCAAAGTTCCCTTATAATTTTTTGTCGCTACCACCAAGATCTTTACCCAGACCCATGTCGTAGGCTCTGCAGTGAGGCCGTGCCCTTATACTCGTCACGGCGTCGGAGCCACTACGTCGGCCAAGCATAGACCTGGTGTTGCAGTGTCGCCACTACGTCGGCCAAGCATAGACCTGGTGTTGCAGTGTCATTCGTTTTCGGGGCCGATTGATTCGGTAGGTGAAATGTTACACACTCCCTACCGATACACGCTCTTCAACAAATCTCGACTCCCTCAACCACTGCCCAGTCGTCGTCCGTTAGGGGTACCTGGGTTTGCGTGCAGGTTGGCACTGATGAGGGGTAGGGGTCGAAGCTAGTGCTGCCAGCTTAGGCGTAGGGGTGAAAAACGATATGAACCGTGTGGTAACCAGGCTCCTTCCAAGATCGACTCGAGGTGACCGGAGTCTCAAAGCACTACCAACTTCCTACGGGAGAGACTGGACACTTCCTAGAGTAGCGCTAGCAAAAATCAGGAGCAAGCTAACGGAGGCGGACGTGGAGCGAGGTAGGGGAGGACGTTGGCGAAGGTGAATACTGGCGGAAGCGGTTCGATTGGTAAAAAGGGAAGGAGTGAACCTAGCGCGAGCAGGCGCCAGGGTGCATTTATAGACAGAGGTAGTGAGAGAAGAAGATGAGGGTGGAGTGTAAGGAAAGAGGCGAAAAGAGGCCAATGAAGGGAAAACTGAATCTAGCCGAGAAATTGCGCTAGGTACAGTCGAAGTCTGGAGATGGCGGAGGATAAAGTCTATAACTCGCTTGATTCTTAACAGAATCAGGCGCGAAAAGACTCATAGCAAGGTCTTGAAGACAGACGAATCCATCTTTGATGTTAGTTTTAGCTCTAGGTTAGTAGATTAGGAGGTTAGCAGTCAACGTCGTGCGCAGGGACTTTGCGAAAGTGGATATGGCCATGTGAGGAAAGTAAAGATTTCGCTCGTTTCCTGATGAAAACGAGCAAGAGAGGAGTCATTTCGAAGGTTATGAGTGATGGCGAATTTGATTATGAAGTCAGTTTTGGCATTAAGTTAGTGTAGGAGGAGATTGTAGGAAGGAGAGTTGCGCAGACGTGTTGAGAAGCGAACATGGCAGGGAGCGAAAGTTCGCATAACACGGTCATTTTTCGACCGATTTCGTCGATCTAAAAGATTGTGCTGATGGTTTGGGACATTACGATTGAGATGGTGCTGTTAATTAGAGTACCAAGTTAGTATTTCTACGGATACATCCTTTATGAGCTGCGCCGGGGTAGGAAGGTTGAAAAACATCGATGAACATACCCCTATTCTCGCAAAAGATTCATTCCAATTGTACTTAAATATATCGGTGGGAGTAACCTCTCTCTACCCATCGATGCGCATGGATAGAGGGACACTGTGAAAGAGAGTAGAAAGGGTATGAAGTTGGGCTTGCCTCGAAGAGAGAGAGAGAGAGGGGAACGAGGATAGAGCAAGTGAACCTGTTCGGGGGCATCGACCAAGGGCATTGGAAAGTACAGGTGGTCGAACTTTCCCGTTATGGCAGTGTTGTTTTTGCTGCCCGCGATGATGCTTGTTGGGCCGTGATCTTCATCGGCACAACTTCATTCCCTGTTGTTCACTGCCTGTTGTTAAACGAACCCGACATGGAAAGTGGCCAGGTGTGTTCGTGAACCAAGGGTTGAGCAGCGGGCGGAACGAACGCAGCAGAGAGAGGGAAGAGGGTAGAGACTTACCAACGGATGGTGCCTTGTCCACCCCAGCGACAAAGTAGCAAAGATGCGAGTGCGGGATCACAGACTTACCTATCGTTGTCCGATTTTTCTCGTTCTGTCATTGGGAATAGCGTGAAGCCAGCCGTAAGATCGGAGGCTTACCTGCAGAATGATATGTCGTGCCTACAGGCCTTCCGCCTTCAGCCACACTGTCCGCCTGCTACACTACCTGCTCGGTTGTTCCCTCAGTTGCCTCCCCTGAGCCGTCGTGAGTTGTCCGACCAACTGTGGCCACTACTACGACTAGGAGGCGAGGTCAGGAGCATGAGGGAGTGGGAGGGAGTGAGTGCAGCAAGAAAAAGGCAGTGAGCAGCGAGGTTGAGGACCTACCTACTTGCCGGTACGCTGCACATCTCACCATACGGTGTAGCGGGAGGCTTATCACGGGACCGAAGACTCATCCGCTAGCCGATGCGCTGCCTATGGCACCAAGCCAGGCACTCGCAGACAGATAGTAAGATGCAGGCTTACATGT